GAAAGAAAGAAAGAAAGAAAGAAAGAAAGAAAGAAAGAAAGAAAGAAGAAAAAGGAAGGGGGAAAGAAAGAAGAAGAAAAGAAAGAAAGAAAGAAAGAAAGAAAGAAAGAAAGAAAGAAAGAAAGAAAGAAAGAAAGAAAGGACACTCATGATTTAAAGGGGGGGGGGGGACTGCCGGAATCCTGACATTTCCCTTCTCCAGAACTTCATGAGAAATTGCACCTGGGACGGGAGCCGAGAGACTCCACCCTGGGATTAAAAGTCAAACAGGTCGGGCCCAATTCCCTCCTCCTCCCGGCCTCCCAAATCAGAAACCCTTCCAACAGGAATGGGAAACGGAAAAAGCCACATGGAGATTTCTCATTTTATTTTCCAGCCTGTGTATCTTAAAAAGCATTTTACAAATAGATTCTTCTTACAATAGCGATAAATAGATATGTGTGTATATATATATATATTATTTATATATATCTTTTATACACAGGTCACTGGAAACACGAATTACAGTCTGGGAGTTTAAATTAAAACGCAATGTTTAAACATTGTTTAAGTTCATGGATTTTGTGCAACTTTTTTAAAAAAATTAAAAATAAAACGACCAAAACAACCCGAAAGGGAAGGAAGGAAGGAAGGAAGGATGGACTTACGCAACAGACCCAGACATTGTGGGAATTAATCTTTTCATATCGCTGGAAGGATGTTTAAAATTAAACCTGGATGCCTGGGAAGTGGGGGGGGGGGGGGCTTTCCCTGATCCAGACACCTGTGGAGCCCGTAAGGGTGCATTGCTCGCAAGGGTGTTGTGCCCCCCTCCACCCTTAAATCCTGCACAGCGTGGGGGGCAGCCCAACCACAGCCCAGAGGGGAGGTCCCTGCGGCTTTTAAAGCCCAGCCAGAGAGTCAATTGGCCAGGCCGTGGGGTGAAGGGGGTGGGGGGAGCGTGGCTGGTGTGGCCCACCTTGAAAATCGCCACATTCAGCCAAGCCACACCCTAGCTGACCTGTGGCGAGATTGTCAAAGGTTTCTTTGGGATGAACGCTCTGACCCCGACGGCCCGAAATTCCCTAAAGAGGGCACACAGCTGCCGTGGGGGGTGCAAACCGGACAGAGAATGTGGCCAGAGACGAGGACAGGAAGGCGTGCGCCAGCCGGGGAGGGGAGACCATGGGTGGCAAACAGAGACAGAGGGAGCTCATCGAGGTGTAATCCATCCATGCATCTTCCCCCGTGTCCTGAAACACCGTCCGGAGATCCAGCGGTCCAGAAAACTCCCCCCTACACCTGCTTCCGGTTCCTTGCCCGGCTGTCCTTTTCCAAAGTGGCCCCTGGCAAGCGGCGTGGCGAGAGGAAAGCCAGGAAGAGGCCGGAGGCTCTCTGCCCCACACCGTAGCTTGTTCCAGACGGCGGGAACCGGGACGGCGGGAAACACCCAGGCGCTCTCCGTTAACGCTACTTGTGATTGTCCACCCGTTTTTGGACTCCACGAGGGTTTGGGTTAGGGATGGAACTGGGGAGGGGGGCATCTTTGAGCACAGCTCATGGAAGTGGGTGAGGAGGGGGAGAAATGGAGGCCCAGAGAGTCCAGGGCCCAGAAGGAATGCCGTCCCTTGCACCGCGATGGAAGGAAGCCGCTGGACGTAGCCGGAAGGGAGAAGAGAAGCAGCTGCTTAAAATGTAGGGTCAGGGGGAGCGGGACTTGCTGGTTGGGAGGGTCGTCATCGTCGTCGTGTGGCCCGAGATGAAGAGGAGGGCTTCTCCGCCGTCACCTTGGCTTGTGCTTCTTTGCCGTGAGCTGTCGGGGAGGGCAAAGGAAGGCTCACCCCTCCCTCCCAGACCCAGGATGGAGGGGGGGGGGGGGGCTGAAAGGGAGAGCAGAGGGGAACAAGCAGAGACAAGGGGGGACGTGTGTGTGTGTGTGTGTGTGTGTGTGTGTGTGATGGGGCAGGACCAGAGTATTCTGGAGAACCGGTAGCGGAAACTTTGAGTCGTTGGGAGAACCGGCAAAAGTGCCACCTCTGACTGGCCCCGCCAACCCCATATCTCTTCTCTGCCTCCCATTGAGTCCCCGCTGATCGGATGGGTCTCCTTGCCCAGGAGAACAGAGCTGGAAAGCAGGTTAGTGGGGTGAGGAGGGAATGGAGATTTCCTTCCCCTGCCATGCCCACCAAGCCACGCCCACAGGACCGGTCGTAAAACAATTTGGATCCCGCCACTAGGCAGGACCCCCTAACGGGGTCTTTGGAGGGTTGGCCAGAGGCTCGGGGATGGGGGGGGGGGGGGCTCCACGGAAGATCCTGGTGGACCCCTGGTCTGACCTGCTCAAGAGGCACATCCACGAGACAGCAGGGAGGTTAGCAGCTCTGGGAGAAAGAAAAAAAGGAGGATTAAGAGACCACCCAGAGGCTGCAGGTCCCAATTCTCTACCCCTCCCCTCGAGGAAAGGACCCGCTCCTTCCTCCCAGCCCTTGGGGGACTCCCCCCCCCCTCACCAGGTGGGGGGGCTGCTGGTCCGCGTGTTCGAGCTGGATCTGGATCTCCGGGCAAGGCGGGTCCGTGGGCTTCCTGGGGTCCGGCTGGGGGGAGCGCGAGGGGCCTGGGAAGGGGAAGCAAGGCCGCTGGGGATTAAAACCAGCCTTCCCTCCCTCGTGAGCAAAGAGGCCCCACGCCGGGCACCGGGGGGGGGGGGCACGAAGGTCCATCCCATTTGTGTGTGTGTGTGTGTGTGTGTGTGTGTGTGTGTGAGAGAGAGAGAGAGAGAGGTGGGTATTCAGCAGGTTCTGACCAGTTCTGGAGAACCGGTAAAGGAAATTTTGAGTAGTTCGGAGAACCGGCCAATCCCACCTCTGACTGGACCTGCCCCCACACCTCTATTCTCCACCTCCCGAGTCCCAGCTGATCGGCTGGGTCTCCTTGGGTTGCCCTGCCCAGGAGAACGGAGCTGGAAAGCAGGTTAGTGGGGTGGGGAGGGAAGGGGGCATTTTGCAGTATATCCTTCCCCTGCCACGCCCACCAAGCCACTGCCCACAGGACCGGTAGTAAACATTTTTGAATCACACCAGTGGTGTGTGTATGTGTGTGTGTGTGTGTGTGTGTGTGTGAAGGCCAACTCTTCCAGAGCACCCACGTGGGGGTGCAGCAAGGAGGTACCTGGAGAGCTGCCCCCGCTGGGCGTGCTGGCGCTGTCGTCCAGCCACGTGCTGTAGACGAAGGAATCGCGCTTGTGGGAATGCGTCGAGGGGAAGTGGCTCTCCTGGGACAGAGAAAGCAGAAGGGGGGGGGGGGGGGGGGCGGAGGCTTAGTGGACACCCAGGCAAGGACCTGATAGTTCCTCTGCCAAGTTGCTAGTCCGCAACGTTTAGGGCAGGGGCTCGGCCCAGGATCAGGAAGCCCCTTCGAGTGGGCTGCAAGGCCCGCTGAGAATCTCGGAGACAAGTTAGAGGGGGGGGGGGGGTGGGGGCGAAAAGAGGGCCTGGAATCCCTGGGCCATTTCCGGCCTTTAATGGCCGCCGAAATGGGCCTCGCTGCCCACTGCTTAGGATACTCCGGGAGGTTTTCGTTCAGCTGAACAACAAGCCAGCATTTCCAGGGGCAAACTGTGGCCTTATTACTGCTTTTACTTGACTAACTTTCAAAGGCGCCAACAGGAGGATCTCTAAAAGGCCCACTTTTCTGCCTCCTTCTGAATTTCCTTCCTGGCATCTGTGCCCCAGCCCCCTCTCCCTTCAGCTCGACCCCCTCCCCCGGTGCCACCTCACCCCGCTTGCATCATCCCGACAGCCTTCGGTGTCCTCCACCATGCTGCCAAAGCTGCTGGCGCTGGAAGAAGAGCGGGAGGATTCGCCCCCGGCTTCCACCTTGGGCATCACCGGATATGGCCTGTAAGAGGGCGGAAGAAAGAGGGTTAAAAGGGGAGTCAGAACCAAGGCTGGACTCAGCCGGGAGATGCCAGGTGTGCGTGTGTGTGTGTGTGTGTTTCCCACCACCCACCTGTTCTTGGTGGTGGGCATCTCTGGCGAGCTCTGATTGGAGGAGGTCCCGGACTTTGGCTCCTGGCCGGTGGGGCTGCCGTCTGGCGTCTTCGCACTGCCCGTCGGGCTCTCCCTGTGGGGCACACAGGTGGGGTTTCCAGATCATGTCATGGCCCTGCCAGAATCTGATTCGGAGGGGGAGGCCGAACAGCTGACAGGGAGTGGGAGTGTGGCTCTGCTGGCTGCGGAAGAAACCGGGGAGGGGCAAAGTCCGGCAGGGCAGAGCAGGGGAGAGGTAGAGCAACAGAGAGGGAGTGCAGAGGACGACCAGGCCCACCCCCTCTTCCTCCTAGGGCACGCAGGGAGGAATGGAGAAGGGAGCAACATGAGTTGCGTGGCTTACGGGGGAGGAAAGGGCCCTGATTTCCTTCATTAGCTGCAGCTGGGAACACGGTGTTTAGAAAGGGCAGCTGCACGCAGCAAGCTGTTGGGAGCAAATCGTGAATTTATCTTATATTGTCGAGGCTTATCTGTGTTCCTGGCATCATCTTCCCAACTGTGTGTGTTTTGCCGTGCTTTCAAGTCTGAAATTCCTTCTCCTGCCCTGTCAAATTAATTACTTCAGCTTGGTTTGTTTGGGGTTTTTTTTAGTTACAGTTTGTATGTGCCTTGTTTTGGACTGAATTTCCTCCAGTTAAAGGCTGTTCCTGGGAGAGTTTTTCTCCAGCCGAAGGTAACTTGGACATTGGGGGCAAAGTTGGAGATAATAGAGGGACTCTTCTGGCTTATTTGACTATGTTGCCTTTGTGCCACGCCCCGAGTCATCACAGAGCAAGGCTGGGGCAGAGGAAAGCTGGGGTGGGAGCAGGCCTCCTTTCCCCAGTCTCAGAAAACAGCAAACATCTGTTGGATTGTGCTTGGCGTGAAGGCAACAGGGTTTGATTCGGCCTCCGTGACTCTCAGGAATCTGTTATGGTTTCGTGCGCCTCGGTGTGACGCACAATTGCAGCCTCTTGACGTTGACTCAAGAAAGCCTGGGTGAGAGAAGGGAAGCCAGCTTGGGGGGGGGGGGGGGGGGGGGGGAAGGGGGGGGGGCACCCCCCCGTGCACCCCCCCCCCCCCCACCTTTTCTCCTGCACTTCCTGGATGTTCTCAATGCCGATGGCGCTGCTCCGCCGGGAACCGAATGGGCCGGATTTCTTCCGCGTCGGACTCTTTCCAGGCACAATCAGGGACTGCAATGAGATGGAGAAACAAAATGTTGTTTCTGGTTGGGGACATTCGGAGAGGAAAGTGCGGCGAAGCAGGGGAGGCGATGCGGAGAGTTGGGGGGGGGGGGGGGTCTCTACCTTGGGAAACCCTGCTCCAGAGCTGACTGGCAGGCAAGCAAGATGAGGGCGGGGGTAGTGAGGAAGACCACCGCCATCTCAGCCACGGGAAGCCGCGCTAACCGCCATCGTCTTAATCAGAGGTCTCCAAACTTGGCAACTTTAAGACTTGTGGGACTTCAACTCCCAGAATTCCTGAGCTAACATGACTGGAGGAGGAATTCTGGGAGTGGAAGTCCACAAGTCTTAAAAGCTGTCAAGTTTGAAGACCCCTGATCTACAGTATCTTCTATCTCCATCTCTACCTACCTACCTACCTACCTAATCTGTCTGTCTGTCTATCTATCTGTCTGTCTATCTATCTATCATCTCTCTCTCTCTCTCTCTCTCTCTCTCTCTCTCTCTCTCTCTCTATCTATCTATCTAATCCAAGGGTCTTCTCTCTCTCTCTCTCTCCCTATCTATCTGTATCTGCCTCTAATCAATATCAATCTGTTAATCATTATCTATATCTATCTATATATCCTGTCTCTAATTTATAACATCTATAGCTCTGTCTATCTCGATCTATCTATCATCTCTCTCTCTTTCTCTCCTATCTATCTATCATCTGTCTCTCTAATCAATATCTATAGCTATCTGTTAATCATCTATATCAAGGGCCTTCAAACTTGGCAAGTTTGAAGACTTATGGGACTTCACCTCCCAGAATCCCTGAGCTAACATGACTGGAGGAGGAGGAATTCTGGGAGTTGAAGTCCACAAGTCTTACAGTCGCCAAGTTTGGGGACCCCGTCGGGCCTTAAACCCCTGGTCTTATTTCGAGTCTTCCAAATAACCTTTCCTAGGAATCCTCATCGGGAACGGCACCTGCTTTTTGCTCCGTGAATAGCTATGGGGGGGGGGGGGGGGGGGCCCCCCCCCCCACCGGGGGCCCGCCCCCACGGAGGCACCCCCAATCTTTAGGCCGACCTCAAAAAGCGTTTACCCCAGAACAGAGTCTGCAAAAAAAAAAACCAGACGGCAGAACGGGCGCAAACCATATCTCACCCCCTCCTCAAAATAACGCCCCCCCTGCATCGTGCCAAGGTTTTGATGCTTTTTCTGGAGAGGGGTGGGCCAGAAGGAGAAGGAGAAGAGGGGAAGGGATTGGGGGAGATTTAGAAAAATGGAGGCTGGGAAGACCCCCCCCCACACACACACACAAATGGGGATGACTCTCTCTCTCTCTCTCCCTCCCAAGCCTCCATCTTTCTTTTCTATGAACTTCTTTTTTAAAGAAGGACAAGAAAGTTCCAGAGGGAGGACAAATCGAACCCACGGAGAGGGCAGGCGGGGGAAAGGACGCCCTTCTGAGGCGTCCTCCAGCAGGGCTCCTCCATTGACAACCAAGGCTCATCCGTTTCATGCAGAAAGGAAGGAAGACACGTGCCGCTGAACTCTTGAGCCTTGCGCGTCAACTCCGTGAGGCGTCCTGCGGCTGCCGGGAGAGTTCGCCCCTCGCCCTTATTTTCCCCGCCAAAAACCCACGGCAGGAGGATAAAGGAGAGACAACCAATTCCCACCACCCTGTCAACTTATTTACTGCTATTACTGTTCTTCTCGTCTTTCCAAGGACCCACTGTATCTCTTCCCACTTATGACAGTAGCCATGTTGCTTGCTATCTTTACAATTTATATCACTTTATTTGTTCCCTAGTACGGTTTGATTGCTTATTAGTGTCCTGTGACTATCACTAAGTGTTGTATCTTATGATTCTTGATGAACGTTATTTTATTTTTCCTTTATGTACGCTGAGAACATATGCACCAAAGACAAAATCCTTGTGTGTCCAATCACACTTGGCCAATAAAGAATTCTATGCTATGCTATGCTATGCTATGCTATTTCTTATTCTATTCTATTCTATTCTATTCTATTCTATTCTATTCTATTCTTTTCTATTCTATTCTATTCTATTCTATTCTATTCTATTCTATTCTATTCTATTCTTCTAA